TTAAGAAGTATACATAGCTAGCAAGTTTAGGGAAGGAAATTATATCCATACCCTCGCAATTTGACATTTATGTTTGCTTCGTTTTATAGGACTATATTTAAGAGAAATTAACATGTATATATAATAACTATTACTTACAGCTATATATTGTCAGGATTTTAATCAAAGATTAGGCTTAGCAATTTAAACCCAAAAAAAAATTTGCAACTGAACTCGTATTTGAAAATTTGTAGTAGTTCTTTTAGTAGGTATAGTTGGGATTATTTGGGAATACTATACAAGATTTGAGGAAGATTTTAGATTATTTGAAGTCAAAATTCAAAGTTGAAATCGACTTGGAACACGCCACATCGCCACCATGACAATGTATATAACATGTATACGTAGTGTATATCATATATAATTTTCCAGTAATTTCCGTTTGAACAAGGATCACGTAACCTTGATAACTAAACAGAAAATAGCAGAAACTTAACCTCAAATATAATATTTTAGACTAAGATCAAATCTGCAGTTACTTGTCCAGATAAACAACTTGTTTTATTGTTAGGTGTTGACAAAAAGCTTAATAGCCGGTGCCATCATTTTCAGTGTTAATTATTGGTACAACATAGTCAAAGATAAGTTAAAAGTAGCCCACAATTTGATTATTTTTGTATGTTTGGAGGCTGCTTTAGAGTCGAATTATTATTTGAATACAAATTAAACTTGTTACTTTAGCCCGAATTATATAAAATAATAACTTAAATTGTATGTATATTGTTAACAAAGTATATAGACTTCTTAATTCACTACTAATGTATATATAGTCATATTATATAAATAGTATATTTGTAGGATTGCTTCTTTATTTGTTTTCTTAGTAATTAGTATAAAATTTATTGTATTTATGCATTGCTTATCTCGTGAAATAAAATACAAACTTATTTTTCTCCGGTTTCTAGTAAATGGTATAGAAGTAGACCCCATTGCCCCTTCTTGTTGCATTGGGGCCCTTAATCTACGCTCAAGATGAGTTTTGGACATGTGCGGAGTGTTAAGTTTTACATTAGTTGAGAAAATGAGGTACAATGTTCTTTTATGAGTTAGTTTTAGAGGTTGAGTTAGACAGAAGAGTCATATTTTCACACACATATGTATTGGAGTTAATCATATATTATTATAAGTGGGAAGCTTCAAAATGAAAAGTTGAATTACCATTTTATCCCTACACTAAATATAAATTTAATCAAATATCTTAATAAATAATAATATTTTAATTATATAAAGATAACATTAAAAGTCCAGCAACTATAATTTTAAAATATAAAACTTATTAATAATCATATGCATTGAACCGGATAAGCAATAGATGGTTCATCTGCTAGTTGTCAAAAACATATGAACTATAATTTTTTTATTTATGAGTTTCTCAGTCTAACTATTAGTTTTCTATTTTCCTATCTAAACTATCACCATTTATGTATTCAAACGCACCTAGTTAAGTAGATGATGATATTTCAAGTAGGAAAAGTGAACAACTAATAGTTGCAGCGTGAAACTCGCAAAAAGATAATTAGCTAATAATTGGATTATGAAACTCGAAAAAAAAAAGACAATTTAATCATTATCTCTATATTTTATAAGATCACATTCATTTTACTAACTCTCAATTCTGAATTCGCCTCTAAATACCTACGTTAAAAAAAAAAAAGGCATAGGTGTCAAAGCTAGTAGTAGTATCATGTTCTTGGTAGTTCCTTATATGTTGCTGAAGTCTATGAGAAAATGTGAAAACAAGAATAACTGCGCTCCAGCTTTTAAAGTTTGGCAATTTGGTCTATTTATAGTTGAAATGAAATCAACAATGATTTTCAGTAAACACGTGCCATCAAATAACATAACCGACCAAAAAAACATCCAAGAATTTTGGTCTTTTTGTCAACTTTGTAGCTCAACCACCATTATCCACGTGTTGATATCTTTTTAACTCCAAATTTAGAAAGTCTTCTTTCTTTATTTATAAGGACCCTAATGTTTTGCTCTAATTGAAGCTCATTTTCTTGAAAAAAAAAGAGAATTTTCACTATAACCAACTTAATGCTGAATGGTTCAAATGGCTTCAAATTTACTCTACTCTGCTTTGGCCTTAGTGCTTTTGTTGTTTCTAGCAGAGCTTTGTTGCTACATTGAGTCAGTTAGTGGGGTTGTTTTGGGTTCAAGATTGTTAGCTAAAGAGAACCAAGCATGGTTTTCTGATAATAAAACATTTGCATTTGGCTTCACTCCAACAACAGAATCACATGATCAATATCAATTGTCTATTTGGTTTGCACAAATTCCAGGGGATACAACATTGGTTTGGTCACCTAACATGTAAGTGTAACAACTTTCTATATTAAGTACTAATTTTCTTGGAAAGCTTGTAAAATTATTACTCCGTCTGTTTCAATTTGTTTATCTTACTTTCATTTTTAGTTTGTTTAAAGAAAAATGCATCTTTCCCAATTTGGAAACTCATTAATCTCAACATCTCACATCATAGGTTTAAGATCACAAAATAAAATAAAAAATTAGTACAATAAGCGTATCTTTAGTTTAAGACCATGACTCCACGAGATTAAAAAGTTATGTTTACTTTCTTAAACTCCATGTTTAGTCAGACTAAGACAAACAAATTGAAACAGAGGGAGTACAAGTCATGCATTATAACATGTCTTATTCTCTATGTTACTGATTCCGCTTTTATGGAGTTTACCTGTAGTTATCATTTAGCTGACCTAGTGTATAGAAGTTAAACTCACTATTTCTCCAATGTGAACTAGTATGGTTTTCTTTTTCTTCAAAATAAGGGCAAGAAGTTGTGAATGTTAATGTGAAAATAGAATATCTCCAAAATGCTTAAAACATGTAGACATAAGTTTAATTTGAGTTAATGTAAAACTAGAATTTCTTCAAATGCTTAAAACATGTAGACATGATAAGTTTGAATTATAGGTTCTTTAGTTATGATATTAGACTTGGAAGAAATTAAGCAGAATGTATTCCTCCATCCCTAGTTTTACTAAAGCTTTTGCAGGTATATGTTTCTTATTGGCCAACCCTTTCATTTTGTGTCCATCATCTGAATAGAAACTCTCCAGTCACCAAAGACGCGGTCTTGGAGTTCGACAACACTGGAAATCTCTTGTTGACGGACAGAGGCACCACTGTATGGGCATCAAACACCTCAGAAGCTGGCGTTGAGACGGCTGTCATGTCTGAAAATGGCAACTTTGTTCTATACACCGACAACCTAAGCGTTGTGTGGCAGAGCTTTTTACATCCATCAGATACTCTATTACCTGGCCAACCTTTAACCGCGTCACTAGAATTAATATCATCAAAATCGCCTTCCCTTGGAGGCTATTACACGTTAAAAATGTTGCAGCAGCCTACATCACTTAACCTTGGATTGACTTACAATGTGCCTGAGTCCCTTGATATGTCACCTGAACTTTACAGCAATTATTCTTATTGGTCAGGACCTGATATATCGAACGTGACAGGAGATGTTGTTGCAGTCTTGGATCAAGCTGGAAGCTTTGGTATTGTTTATGGTTCATCTTCGGATGGAGCAGTTTATGTGTACAAAAATGACGGTGATTATGGAGGGCTATTCTCAGCTTTGAATCAATCTAATTGGAATAAACCATCTGTTTTAAGACGGTTGATTCTCGAGGCTAATGGAAATCTACGTTTGTATCGATGGGACAATGATGTGAATGGATCAAGACAATGGGTTGCAGAGTGGGCAGCTGTGTCCAATCCATGTGACATTGCTGGAATTTGTGGCAATGGGATATGTAATTTAGACAGAAGTAAAACAAATGCTTCTTGTACGTGTTTGCCAGGCACGTCTAAGGTGGGAAATGATATTTCGTGTTCTGGAAATTCTTCATTGACAGGAAAATGTGAACCTCATCATGAAAACTTAACTTCCCAGTTCAAGATTTCTACGGTTCAACAGACGACTTACTATTTCTCAGAATCATCCGTAATAGCAAATTATAGTGATATAAATTCAGTGTCCAAATGTGGGAATGCTTGCTTATCGAATTGTAACTGTGTTGCTTCTGTTTACGGTCTCAATGAGGAAAAGCCTTACTGTTGGGTCCTAAGAAGCTTGGAATTTGGTGGATTTGAGGATCCTGGCTCAACTTTATTCATCAAGGTTGATGCCAATGGCTCATTTGGTGTTAATGGTGACAAACAAAATGGGAATTCATCAGACGATTCACAGAGTAAACACGACAAGGTATTGATACTTCCTATAGTCCTAAGCATGACTGTTCTGATCGTGCTGCTCGGCTGTCTGTTGTATATCAATATCCATAGGAAAAGATCCTTAAAGAGAGCCCTTGATGGCTCTTTGATCTTATCAGGAGCTCCAATTAGTTTCAGCTATCGTGACTTGCAACAACGGACAAATAATTTTTCTGAGTTACTTGGAACAGGTAAAGACACAAGTATTATTTCATTTCTTATCCAGTATTACTCAGAAACACAGAAAATCCAAACTACGACAATTGAATTTTCCATCATAACAAGATTTGATCATAGTAACAATGTTGCGTTAACAGGTGGATTTGGAAGTGTTTACAAGGGAAGCCTAGGAGACGGAACATTGATAGCAGTAAAGAAGCTTGACAAAGTTTTACCTCATGGAGAGAGGGAATTTATAACAGAGGTCAATACCATTGGCTCTATGCATCATATGAACTTGGTGCGTCTATGCGGATACTGTTCTGAGGGAACACGAAGGTAAGTAACTGATTTCGTTGTAATTTGATGGCTGAATTGTGTCAAAGTAGGTAAGCATGTCATATTACACCATTTATGTCACGACCCAAATTGAGTCATGAGTGACACCCACACTTAACCTCCTAAGTGGGCGGACCAAGGAATCTAAACCCCAACACATACCAATAATTCAACTACGAATAACAACAATAACGCGGAAGCTCCAAAACTTATTAAAGTAACCGATCAAATAAACCTCTAAAGTCTATTACATATTATCCCCAAAATCTGAAAGTCATCACAACAAGGACATCTGTTCTTAACATATCAAGTCTAAAAAGTATTAGAGACCCCAAATAAGTAAATACGATGGTCCATGTCCGAAATTCAAGGACATCACGCCATAACTGAGAGAATCCAGCACGAGCTAGAAGGAATAGCTCACCCTGAAATCTGATGTGCTGGAGACTGGCTAGAGCTGAGGGCGAGTCGAAGTCGATGGTACACTTGCTGCACTCCACAAAAGAAAAACAAAGAAAAATACAAGTAGGGATCAGTACGGGGCAACATGTACTGAGTAGGTATCATCGGCCAACCCAAAATAGAAACTAATATACAATGAATAATAGTATAAAGTCAACTATAGCACTCAGCAGGTGATAAGAAACAACAACATGAACAAGTGACAGTTAAAGCAAGTACGTAATCAATCACAATATCAAGCACACACACGAGGACTCATGCCTCCACATCACACTCATTTGGGAAATGCGTTCATTGGGATTGAGTACATTAAGTTAATTCAATATCTTTTTCCTTTAATGTTACCGTGTCGGAACGTGACACTCCGATCCAAAAATACCGTGTCGGAACGTGA